TTTTTTTGGTCCTCTGCAGACTTCTTTATTTTCGTCGAAAGTCTCAGAAAATTGTTTCTTGTTTTTTTTGATCCTCTGCAGGCTTTTCATGTTCCTTAACTAGAAAATGATTGAAAAACCTATGAATTAAAAACCCACCCCCCATGACAATCCCTTCTGAAATTATAAGCCTGTTTTTCAGATGGTTGTGGAACCCACCACAGCCATGCATGGCCAAATGAACTTGGAATGTGTTTGATATGATTTGACGCCACCGGTTCAAGTTGATGTTTGGATATTTTTGCAGGTGGATACCTCTTACCTGTAATCATGGAATGGACCAAGTTCATGCACATGCACATGAACTTGGAATGCTGTTTTTTGATGCCTGGCGTTTATGGTTGGTTTTGGACAGCTTGCCGAGACTTTTGGACAACAGCAAAATGGCCAGGATGTGAAGAAAGGAAAGTACGGGAAAAGGTCGAAGGAACGAAAAGAAGGGCAATGGCCACAGTATGTCCCTAGTAGCTTCTTGTTACTAGTAGTAAGGCCAGGAGCCCCTAGTGGCGTCCTTGCTCCTAGTAGCGATGCCAGGAGCCCCTAGACAATGGCCACAAATTGAATGTCACGACTCGAAAGGAAACACATGCTTAGACAGTGTCCAGGAGCTTGTGGAGGAAAAGGGGGGAATGGCAAGGGAAAGCTGTCATTAATGGATATCCTTACAACAAACAGAATGTCAACAAGGTTATTCACACACTGGCAAGGAAGGGCAAAGGGTAGAATAGGCCAGAAGACGGGCAGGAAGGGAAAAGGGGATAGAAAAGGCAAGAAAGGGAACAACAAAAACGAGAACACGCATGGACGGAGGGAAATGGTAGGTTGGGGTTGAAAGAGCTTGAAGGAACACCCACCAGAAAAGAAGGATGAAGGGCGCAGTTTGGATGCACCTGCTCGAAAGCATACATCAGCATGGGAAAGTTGTGTACTTGGAATGCCTTATGAAGCGAATCGGAGAAGGCAAACACAAAACAGGACAAAGGGAAAGGAGTGGACAAGAATAGATAGGAACGGCAAGGGAAAACAAACAAGCATGGAAGGGGATAGAATTGATTCCCACTGCTCCAAGGCATAATTAAATGACCACAACAGGTATACTCAAGAAGGCCCATGAGAAGGAAGGGAGGTGGTAGAGGTTTGGGACAGAAAGGACGGGGAAGGAAACCAAAAGGACAAGGAAGAATATGAGCCTCAGGAATTTCCATGACATATATCCTGAGGTTGGAAGGGAGCATGTGATAATAATCATGAATCATGATGAACATGCGTCATACCTTGCAGAAGACGCACTTTTGGGAGCCTTATTTTTGTCCATCATATAGATTCTCCACTTTGGAAAAGAAAAATGCCTTGAGACAATAATGGAAATGCGTAACACCTTTCAGAGTAGACATGCTTTTGGACGCCTCATTTTTGTCCATGACATATATTCATCACTTTCGAACGGATAAATGATCATGGAAATTGCAGAAATGCACTTTTGGAAGGTTTGTGATATATATCATATATCCCAAATTTGTAAGGGAGAATGGCCTCGCACTATCTACTATCAGCTGCATCAGGGTTGAAAGTTAGAATGTGTTTTCCTTGTTTTGGAGAAAAGGCTCAAACATATTCAAGAATCTTTTTTTGGTGTATTCTAAGTTTCAATGCTATCGTTTGGAAAAACGTGGGCAGTCTAAGTTTCAGTTTTGATATATATATATATACAGTATATAGAATGGATAGTAGTTGTCGATCTTCCTCTCCATCTCCTTACATCCCTGCGCAAGCACTTCCCGTGGTTCCCCACCTCCCCCATCAGCTTGAATCCGTCCCAAATCGCGCATTATTCATTTAGAGGGGGAGATTGCCGGATGATTGAAGAGTCAAAAGGGAATCATTTAAACATGTTAAAGTAGAATTCCACATATTGCAAAATTAATTTTCAACAATATAGATCATTCATGAAAATTACATATGTGTATAGATCTTCATTCGAGGAATGGTTTGTATTTGCAGAGAGGTTGCTCTGTGAATGTTACCTGTATGGAAGTTGACACACTTCAAATGAAGAATGTCTCAGAAACAGCTCGAGTGGAGGATGCTGGCTACAGTGATCCTGTGACGGTGGTTTTCAATGCTCCGGGCGCTTATGGCATTCACTTCGCTGACTCGGACTGTGTTGGGAATGGGAAGCCCAGTATTCCTGAACATCCTGAATTCCTTTTTGTCTCCTATTCAGCGCACGGCTCACAAAGACCTGTTCCTAGGGATTGTGCCACAATACGACAGTTCAGGATCCAATTGGAACGATGCAAAATTTGAAGCCAGGGATCAAGGAAGCTGTGCCAGCTAGGTGCCTCATGAGATTGGCCCACCAATGGAGGACACGCCGAGACTCCTGGTCTTGGAGGTGGTCGCAGAAAGCCCCGCAGAGAAACAGGGCGTCAGGCCTGGCAGCCGGCTCGCGAAGATCAATGGCATGAGTGTGGAGACTTGGCAAGAAGTCTGGGAGTCATGTGAGCCACAGTCAAATCCTAGCGACTTGGTTTTATATAAAATTGATCATTTTTGGTGGGATCTTGCAGAACGAAGCCGGAAAACCAAAAACGAAGCCTCTTGGTGGGATTTTTGCATGTGTATCCTCTTGGAGTGCATGAAATGCGGCCAAAACGAAGCCCCAAACGAAGCCCAAATTCACGAAAAAGTGTCCTTTGTAGACCCTGCCCCAAATGCCCCGTGCTGTAAGAAGTTCCTTTGGCAAATTGCTGTACTGGTAGGTTTTTAAAGAAGTTCATTTGCTGTACTTCACATTGTAAAGGTCTAGTGGTAATATAACTCACCTGGTGAACAAACAGAGCATAGTAGCCTAACTGGTGCAATTCCTTGAAAAGCGAAGCCGGAAAACAAAAAACGAAGCCTCAGTAGAAACGATCATTTTTTTTCCTTTTCATTTTGCCGGTCGCTCATGTCACCTAGAAGTCGGGCTGCACTGGGTGCCAAGGCGCTCCTGATTGAGATTGGTTGGTTTCAACGCTTTTGTTCATTGTTTTGGGCAATTCACCGACAATCTGCTCATGTTATGACAGGTTTTGACATTGGTTGATCCATTGAAGTGAGCCCTGAATTGCTTTGCCCTCAGGACAAGCTGACACCCCATGAGGTGCGTGCGTTGATGCTTGGCTCACCAAAAGTCATGAGCTCCGAGTTAGGCCGAGTTAGCTCCGTTTCGTTCCGGAACGGAATGGATCCAATTCTTGACACGAACCGTTCTTTGTTGACGACGGTGGATAGGGAAGGAAGGTGGTCATTGGCTACACCTTTCATTGCATGACGTTGGATGTGTCCACTTCCTCCACTGAGACAGGATTTGATGATACTTTTATGATTAAAACCAATTGTGAAAGGAGCAGCTGGATTGAGAGTTTGGATGCTTGTCGTATCCAGGTTGATGAATCCTGCGAGACCTATGTCGATGACTTTCCACAACAGACCGCAGGATACGCTCATATGGAGAGCCAATGAAGAATAGGAATAGGGCTCATCAAGAGGTCGCAGCAAGGACGCTACTAGGGGCTCCTGGCCTTACTGCTAGGAGCAAGAACGCTACTAGGGGCTCCTGGCATTACTACTAGGAGCAAGGACGCTACTAGGGGCTCCTGGCCATACTACTAGGAGCAAGGACGCTGCTAGGGGCTCCTGGCATTACTACTAGGAGCAAGGACGCTACTAGGCTGGGGCTCCTGGCATTACTACTAGGAGCAAGGACGCTACTAGGGCTCCTGGCATTGCTACTAGGAGCAAGGACGCTACTAGGGGCTCCTGGCATTACTACTAGGAGCAAGGACGCTACTAGGGGCTCCTAGCATTACTACTAGGAGCAAGGATGCTCTAGGGGCTCCTGGCATTACCACTAGGAGCAAGGACGCTACTAGGGGTTCCTGGCATTACTACCAGGAGCAAGGACGCTACTAGGGGTTCCTGGCATGACTACTAGTAGCAAGGACGCTACTTCCTGGCACTACTAGTAGTAGCAAGGACGCGACTACTTGTAGGGGCTCCTGGCATTACTACTAGTAGCATTCGTACCGGGAACAAGAAGCCCCTAGTTGCTCCATGGCTCCATTTCGAGGACTTAGCTGCCAGTCCAAAGGCTCCAACAGCTCCCAGCAGCCATCCACAGGCAGTGGCGGAAGGGTACCTGCTTCAACGGTTTTGGTTCAAAAGCTGCAAATGTGAGTTCGCTTTTTTTGAATAGTGGATTTGAAGGATGACAGGATAGATCAGAGATCTGTGAGCAACCAAGCCAGCCGTGGGGGGTCTGCAAGAGTGCTAGGCTCAGATTTGTCGGCACAATGTGGGGGGCGCACCCCCAGTGGCTGGGCGCATCATCACACGAGTCCTGCAAGAAGACTTGCAGCGCGAGTTTCAGGCAGGACGTTGGTTGTTCCAGGCTCTTCGTTGCCTTCCTTGAAGAAGGTAACCATGGCATCATGTATTTGACCCTGTCATCCCTGCAGTGCATAGAGATCAAGAGAGGACGATCAAACAGCCAGAGGTCTTCAGACCTTGGCCCCATGTTTGGCCCAAAGATTTTCATGGTAGCCATGGCATCAGGTAAAGACGGGGTCTTTCAACCTGTCACCGGTGAATGGCCCGTCTCAGGAGCCTCCTGACTCGGTGTCAGGCATTTTCGATCCCAGAGACTTGAAGCGGCTGCTGGATGCCTTAAGACTCCCGGCTGCTATTTGTTACTAGTAGCTTCTTGTTACTACTAGTAAGGCACTTGTTACTAGAAGCGATGCACTTGTTCCTAGTAGCTTCTTGTTACTTAGTCTTCCTATGTCTTCCGGAAGGGTGTCTATCTTGGCCTCGCTGTGCCTCTGTTGGTGTGGGGCGTCTCATTCATTCTTAGGGCCCACAGGCATCTCACACCAAGTGATATTCATTGAGTTCCTGTATATGTACGTATATATATATATATACATACAGATATACATATATTATATATGCTAATGGCAGTGAAACCAGAGTACAGAAACACTATATACGCAATGTGTACAGCAAGCCCTGCACATACGCAATATACTTTGGCTCAAGACGCCCCATCGGAAAAGAGTGTGCGCAGCTCTAACACCATGAGGATGTCATAGGTGGTCAACAGTTGCCTTCACAGCAATCTGGTTGATTAACACCCACACGCAGGTTATCAGCCATACCCGCTCTGGGTATGAGCTATTGAGAGGCCAAGGGACATTGCGACCGACTATGTCCAGTTCTTGTGGGAATATAATAAGTGAAACATTCCTTTGCTGCTCCTGGAGGAAACATGTCACAGTCATCTCCTGACTCAGGGTTGACTGGCGCAAGTTCCAATGATGCAACCATCATTACGATGCAAACAGATTCCGTGGTATCTAGAGATGACAGGGCCGTTCCCCAGGAACGCGCATCTGGACAAACATCTAGAGGTATGAGGAGAAATCTCCGAACCTTCAGCAGGTCTACCTCGCCGAGAACGACTCACAATCGATCCCCGAAGAAGAGTAGTGAGAAGATGAGAACTATCAGTGGTAGCCCTGACCACAAAGAAGCGAGCAGAGAAGCAACTACTTGAAGAGCTCAGATCACCGAATAGGGCTTACCAGTTCTTGCAAGAGATCCAAAGAAGAGTTTGCGAGTGTGTCCAACTATGGGAAGACCATAGAGATGAGACTGCAAGAGATGGTTCAGGAAGATGAAGGTGCGACCATCAGGATTGGAGAGCTGGAGCACAAACTTCGACTTGCTGAGCAGATGCCAGGTCACATTTATGGCAGGTATAGAGAACTATCCGAAGAAAGCAACGTAGAACAATCAGAACTCCACGCTATGAATCAGAAAATGGAGAACATGTCGAACGAATTGCGTGGTGCGATTGGACAAGCTCATCAGCAGACGCAGAATACTACAGCAGTGAGTACGCACGCACAGACGCTAAATAGTGACAATGAAGCCATGAGACTTGTAGCTGATCAACTGCAGAGACGAATGTTTGCTCTTCAGGATGAGAACATGAATATGTGGAAGATCGCTGAGCTAGAGCAGGAAGAATTGCAGAGCGAACAACAACAACAACAACTACTACTCCTGGATGAAATGTCGCAGGCTAGTGCAAGTCACAATCACGAGAAGCTAGTCATCGACCATCTCAGAGCACATGTAGCAGCATTAAGAGCTAATGAGCATAATGCCCATCCTGAGATCAGCCAACGAGACGCAGAAATCCATGCAGAGTCACAAGGTTATCGAATGTAAATTTCGGCAGAGAAGACAAAAGTCCCGCATCTACAGTACGAAGCTAGGGTATTGAGAGAGGCCCTAGATCGACTCGAGGTCGCTTCCAGGGACAATGCCAGAATAGCAGAACGTGAAACAGAACAAACCAAGAAGGCCAAGAAGGCCCATGGATGCTGCACTTATCGAAGCTAATTTCCAGTTGAAGACGGGCAAAATTAGATGAACGCCCGGTTTTGGTGATTCGGAAGAGTCAGAGTGAATCACGAAGATCAAAAGCCTTGAATGAATCATCGCTGACAATGAGAGGATGTGTAAAGATCTACGGAGAGAGAGAGAGAGAGCACCGAACTAAAGATGGAGAACAGTATAGAAAAGTCCATATCCTTGCAATATACTGGTGGGGGACTCAATGCTATCGGAGGAATCAAGCCCCAGGCTGGATTCCCTTACTCAGAGATGTCAAGGATACAGCGCGAGATGAAGTATATGACTAGCGTACGGAAGCTCATAAGATGTGCAATCAAGAGATGGAAGAACTCAGTGATCAAGAAGCCAGGACTGAGAAGTTGAAGACCGAACTCTCTGAAGCAACAGCAGCGTCTTCACCGACGTCAGTAAAGGGTGTCCAGAAAAGAGGAATCGAAAGTAGTAGTGCCTGCATGGCCGAAGGTTATATAATGAGTTGAAACTATGGAAAGCAAGTTTGAAGCAAGCAACCATAGTCGCTGTCAATGATCCTGATCAGCAACCTTGGATTGACTGGATCAAGGAAGCCATCGAAGACCCTGATCCGGACAGGCTTGAAGATTCAGGAGATCCAGCACTACAGCAGGTAGTGATTGATGCGAAAGACGATGGGATACATGTTTCTTCAAGACTCAATGCAAAAGGAAGATCGTCAGATTTCATCAAAGGGCGAGAGACCTTTGCGTTGATCCTACTCAACTTCAAGACAACATCTAACGTTGAGGTGCTGTGTACGTCAATGAGACCCTTGCGGGGATGAGGCCAAGTGATGTTCGCCACGAGGGATGGCTTGTGACGTGAGTGCTTACAATAGCATGAGTGAAGGAGATCCCAGAAAGACCTACAATCGTCTCTGTGATGTCATCAGAAGATACATTGAAAGGCAGACCGAAGACAAGGTGATTGCTGAGAAGGAAAGGGCCGTGAAGAAGGTAGCAAACATTTCCCCAGGCCTGAAACCTACAGTTCCTGCACCCAAAGGTAAAGCTATGCCCGTTGATCCTAATCCCAAGAAGAAAGCAAAGCCTGAAGAAGAAGCTGCATCAGCAAAGCCAAGGCCGAATATCAAGAAACATCCTGAGGACAAGAATAAGAAGGGAAAGGGAAAAGGTGAAGGCAAAGACACGCCAAGAGGTAGGAGCACCAGTGTGGACAAGAAGAAAACCCCATGCAAGCTCTTCGCAAAAGGAGAATGCGCCAAAGGAAAAGATTGTCCATACAGGCACAAGAAGCCACGTTCTCAGTCACGTGATGACAAATCTC